TGTCAGTTAAGATCAGAGATTATCGTTGTTTCCTCTGTGTTCTTTATAAAGTAGGATAAGACACTTCAAAAACCTCTCTACTATGAACCGTTGACAGATTTTACAAGAGATACTTCTCCCTCCTCTAAATATGCTTGTCAGAATCAGTTGTATATGTTGGAGAGGATGCAATCTGGAAGAAAGTATACTTGAGTTTTTTCCAAGTAAATTTGAGGATAAACTAGGAAAATTTAGTTATTGCTTCAAATTGGTGAGGAAATAGTTCTCTCGGTCTTTAAGGATCAAGGCTAAAAAATTCAGCAGCACCTAAGTCTCAAGTCATATTTGAAAATGGATCTTAAACTCGTAGGGTACTTTTTAAAGTTTTTACTCTAGCGAAGTTTAAAGTCCCTGATGTCAACTGAACAATGCAGTCCTGAATTAATATGCTTTGTTTTTGCCCCCCTTCCCAAGAAATCAATGCCTTCACTATTTTTGTTTGTTCTCTGCATACCTTTCTTTCATCGGCATTTGTATTTGTATAGTGTAATTGTACAAAAACTATAGTGAAATACATAGCTCAAGGAGAACATATTGTGAGCTTTCTATCACTGTCTGCTAGACACAATAACTTCAGTGTCACAAGAGCCTACACATATACAGCTGATGGCGTTTCTGTGGAATCGCAGTGGTGTATGGTGTCTACTGAAATCTGCAGGATAAGCAAATGCAAAAATTCCTTTAAACTGCCAGGCCTCCAAAAATGCCATGTTTTGGCTCCATTGATAAATGCCACAAATAGCAGAACAGGCATGTAGGATTCAGTTCAAAAAATGTAAGGCTGCATGCCGCTCATGTACAGTTGTGCCAGCAACAGATTGTATTTAGCTTTTGAAAGAGAGTTTCCAAAAGCTGAATGCCTAATCTCCCCACCCCTGTTTATATATTGTAAGCAAACTAGTCTGAACCTCTTTGTTTTGTCTCGTGTCTGCTGCTGTCTCCAGTGCAACGAATCCTGTGCCAAAAATCTGGTACCCAGCAAGTAGAACATAGCTCTGCTTTTAATTATCAACTATAAAAGCTTAAGGAAGTACCTTGTTTGTACTGCCAGTCACTGGTATAGGGAAAAACTGATAAAGCTGTAGTCATTTGCACAGATTGTAGTATTTTGATTCTGTGGAAAGAAACTATTTTAGGAGTGCCTGTCTGGTCAAATGACACACATTCTCAGATTACTGTGTACACAGTATCTGACAGAAATCTTGAAATTAATAAAATTATCTAAATTCTTATTTTCATTTAACCACTGAAAAAAATTATTTCTATACAGGCTAAACTGTTCAGAGATTTGTTTTGTCACCTGGGAAGGGAAACCACTTTAATGACTCTGAAGGATGATCTTCTCCTGCTGTCAATGGACAGAGGACTTTCATCTGTTTTCCTGAACCTCTAGTCAGCACTGACACTGACTATTAGATATCACTGTCCTGCATAACACATGTGGCAAGGATCCAGAAAAATACTGAAATGTTTTTAAGTCCTTTGTGGCAGGATGTATCACAGTTCCTGCGTTAAATGCACCTCTGACTCTCTTGGGGCTGTCTGAAGGGCACCCTACTTAGGTCTCAGAGTAACAGCCATGTTAGTCTGTATTCGCAAAAAGAAAAGGAGTACTTGTGGCACCTTAGCGACTAACCAGTTTATTTGAGCATGAGCTTAGTGAGCTATAGCTCACGAAAGCTTATGCTCAAATAAATTGGTTAGTCTCTAAGGTGCCACAAGTATTCCTACTTAGGTCTGACCTCCAGTCATCATCTTTTTCTAAGTGGAATTCTGCAGTCTGCTTCCTCCAGGTCAGGGTCTTAGGCTGCAATTCACTGTGACTGTGTCAGCAGGTCTGACTTCAGTTCAGCACCTACAGTTCTTCTTTCCTTAGGGTGAATGACATGTTTTCTCTTAAATTATAATTTATCTGAAAATAATAAATAGCTTATATGCATGCCTGGCTTTCCAGGAGTCACCCATCTTCCTTAAGGAGACCCTGGCAGATCTGAAGTGTTTGAAGTCCTCTCACAGGACTTGATGCTGTTGGACACAGTCTCATGCCTGTCAGTTTTTGGATGGTATCTGTGAAACTCTTCCCATGTCAGGGCTGTTGTTCTATACAGTTTCAAGTCCTTTCTCTCCCAAGGCCTTCCAACCAAGGCACACCAGTCTGCTAGTACGAACCTGAAGCAAAACTTCAAGAGGGCTTGTTACTTGCATTGTGTCTATATTTGGGCAATTTGCATTAGTTACCCTCCATTGAGTTTAGTTCCTTCTGGAAACATTTTTACCTTACTCAATTACTTTACTCAATTTATTTTTACTAACTAGCCCATAAAGGTACATATAATATTTATAAAACTAAAGCTGTAGTCTTAGAATATTCCACGATCCTACTGCATCTGTAATAGCTCAGTACTGTAGTCTTTTAATAGTCCATATTTCCATAGCATCGCATCTGACAGAGGATGTGCCTGAAAAATAGTAATGGGAAACTGTACCTCAGCTAGTAGACTGTTCACTTGTAGAATCACACAAGGATCGATTCTCTCTCCAGTCCTTTTCACCGTCTACATGCAGCCATTTAGGTGAATTGGTAGGATGACAGGTATTCAAGTGCCAGCAATATGGAGATCACCCACAACTCTACTTATTCTTCACCATACAAAACAATACCACTGCTATCAAGATGAGTGAGTGCTTGGATGAGATCAGCTCATGGATGAAGAATAGGTGATTGAAGATGAACCCAAGGAAGACACAGGTTATGCTGGTGGCCAGAGGAAAATATTTGAGGAATTTGCAGCTATGGTGCAACCTCTTTTGATTGAAGGTATATACTCAGTTAGTCCGTCCCTAATTTAGGAGTACTTCTAGATTCCTCACTGACAGTGGCATCCCCAAGTAGCCTTGCTAACTGGAGATGGTAGAAAGTGTAACTGTCATTCATGTTAGTGGATGGTGACCTGGCTTCAATTATACGTGTGTGACTGGGTGTCTCAGTGGCCCTTGCTAAGAATCCCACACTCTGGGCAGACTGCAAGAAATAGGGCATGCAATCCCCCAAAACTGGTGGTTTGATCTATGATAGTAACCGAACCAGTATCAAAAGAGCTTCTGTATTACCACGCTGGTTAACAGGAAGCCAAACCCAGTCCCTTTAGCCATTCCAATCTTTGGCTCTCATCTAAGTAAGCAAGTCTAATATAAAGAAAAGGAGTACTTGTGGCACCTTAGAGACTAACAAATTTATTTGAGCACAAGCTTTCGTGAGCTACAGCTGTTAGTCTCTAAGGAGCCATAAGTACTCCTTTTCTTTTTGCGAATACAGACTAACACAGCTGCTACTCTGAAACAAGTCTAATATAGTGATTGGTGAATAGGGTTTTCAGTAACTACTTAAAATTTTACCAATCCGAAAAGATCACACACTTACTCTCAGGTCAACATAATCTATCTATAAAATTTGCAATCTTATGCAAACTTACTAAAGATTTATTAATAAAACACAAGAAGAGAGTCTTTTGAATGGTTAAGGAATCCTATACATGCAAGTGACTTAACTTTAGAGTTATTCCAACAGGTTAGAACCCAAAGGCAGATTAGATATAAAGTCTTTCCTTGCATTTTCCAGGGTATTCTAAATAACTACTTGGAAGATCTCAGTTCCGTATCTTAAACTTTCCCTGTTTAAAGTTCAGAAGACTAGAGATAAAAGGATCATGCCCAAGGTCCAGTATTTATAGCTCTCCAGCAGGCTGACAAACCTCCTCACAGAAATTAGGGCTTTCCTCCCAGGAAGAATAGGCAATGCAGATTATTTGTGGACTTTTGCTTTGAAGTTAATCTTCTATTTCCTATGCACACAGGTAAACTAGTTACATTCATTTACATAGCAATTACCCGGTCCGCCATTATAAGAGAGAGAGAGAGAGAGGTAAGCTGAGACAATGTAGATGATATTAGTTTCCTGCAGTGTCTCACATCTTTGATCTTATGGTTAACTACATAGTCACATGCATAATGTAAGGCAATTAAGACCCCTAAAGGCTTTAGCATCTAAGAGCCAATTGGGTTCAGGGCCATCCCTAGATATTGTCCCCACAGACCATGGGGAACTTCTGGTTGAATATCAAGCAGCCTTTGGTTAGTTTAAAAAACATAGATGCAGCTCAGCTAGGCAAAGTACTGTTTTGCTCTGCTGACCTATTGCATTTCTACCTCATTTGCTGAATTTAAGGTAGTGAAGTAAAAAAAAATAGTTCTTAAATTACTAGTTTGCAAAGAGAGTCTTCAAACTTTCTCTGGGTTGAGTAAGTGAAAGCAGATGTTGGTAAAGAGGTACAGCATGAGACATAATTGTATCATGGTATGATGTGACAACAGCACAGCAAGATTGAAAAACCGCTAAGATTGGGGCAATCCTAATCATTTTGCCTATTCAGGATCACGTTGAATAGTACCTTTTGAATGGCAGAAAATAACCTATTCTCAGTTTGTGAATGTTTTCATATGTACAGATTGAAACTCTTTCTGATAAAAGAATAAGAGCACTGTCGTTTGAACTCTTACTATGATACTCTATACCGTAGCCTTGAAATCTACCATTATTTCTGAACACATCTCTTTCAGGAATTGGTTGTTAAGTGTGTTAAATGAAAACAAGTTCAGTTTTATTACTATGTATAGCACCCATTTTTAAGTGACTATTTTTGATAATCTCGTCTGCGAAGCTTTCAAGGTGAAATTTTTAGAAGTGAAAACTGTTTTCAATTTTTTATCAATGTTTTTGAAATATTTATAGCAGTCTAAGATTCTGAATAAGAGGTAATAAACTGTTAGGAAACATAATTTTTTTTTCAATATTCAGTTTATACAGGTACAGTATATTTAGAATCTTCCTAACTAGAATTGTGTAACTATAATTACTTTCATTAAGCTAACCAGCCATTTGTGGGTTTTTTTAAATTTTTCAGAAAAGAGCTAAAGGCCAGGTACTATTTGACAAGGTGTGCGAACAGCTCAATTTACTGGAAAAGGACTATTTTGGCCTGTTGCTTCAAGATAACTCAGATCAGAAGGTAAGCACTAAGAGTTGTTTCATGTTACTAGAATGTTAGATCGGGGCTGGCAAACTTTTTGGCCTGAGGGCCACATTGGGTTTCCAAAATTGTATGGAGGGCCAGTTAGGGGTGGCTGTGCCTCCCCGAACAGCCAGACGTGGCCTGGTCCCCACCCCCCATCCCATTTTCCCTGCCCCTTCCATCCCTCCCTGTCCCCTGACTGCCCCTGGAACCCCTGACCCTGACTGCCTCCCACTGCCCCATACAACCCCTCCTCTCATTCCTGACTTCCCCCCCAGGATCCCTGCCCCCATTCAATCCCTCGCCCCCAACCACCACCGTGAACTCCCCTGCTCTCTATCCAACCCTCCCTGCCCCCTTACCGCGCCGCCCGGAGCACTGGTGGCTGGCGGCACTACAGCCGCGCCGCCCGGAGCACCGGTGGCTGGCGGCACTACAGCCGCGCCGCCCGGAGCACCGGTGGCTGGCGGCACTACAGCCGCGCCGCCCGGAGCACCGGTGGCTGGCGGCACTACAGCCGCGCCGCCCGGAGCACCGGTGGCTGGCGGCACTACAGCCGCGCCGCCCGGAGCACCGGTGGCTGGCGGCACTACAGCCTGGCTGGAGCCAGCCACGCCACCACGCAGCACAGAGCCAGCGGTGCAGTGAGCTGAGGCTGTGGAGGAGGGGGAACAGCAGGGGAGGGGCTGGGGGCTAGCCTCACGTGCCAGGCAGGAGGGTCCCGCGGGCTGGATGTGGCACTGCCCACCTCTGTGTTAGATTCTTTTTTAGCATAACTTCATTAACAAACTTGGAGAGTTTGGCTTGTTTACCCTAACCAAAAGAAGACTGAGGGGAGATATAATTGCTCTCTATAAATACATCAGAGGGATAAATATTAGGGAGGGAGAGGAGTTAAGTGTTAATGTGGATGCAAGAACAAATGGATATAAACTGGCTATCAACGTATTGATTTCTAAACATCAGAGGAGTGAAGTTCTGGAACAGCTTTCCAAGGGGAGCAGAGGGTGCCAAAAACCTAACTGGCTTCATGATTGAGTTTGATAAGTTTATGGAGGGGATGATATGATGAGATTGCCTACAGTGGCAGGTAGCTGATCTGGGACTGCTAGTAGCAAATATCCCCAATAGCTGGTGATGGGACGCGAGATGGGGAGAGCTCTGAGTTACTACAGAGAAATATTTCATAGGTGTCTGGCTGATGGGTCTTGCTGAAATGCTCAGGGTTCAATAATCACCATATCTGGGGTCAGGAAGGAATTTTCCCCAAGGTCATATTGGCAGAGACCTTGGGTTTTTTTCTCCTTCCTCTGCAGCATGGGGCACAGGTAACTTGCAGGTTTAAACTAAAGTAAATAGTGGATTCTCTATAACTTGAACTCTTAATCATGATTGAGAACTTCAGTATCTCAGCCAGAGGTTATGGGTATATTACAGGACTAGGTGGGTGAGCTTCTGTGGCCTGTGGTGTGCAGGAGGTCAGACTAGATGATCATGATGGTCCCTTCTGGCCTTAAAGTCTGAGTCTAAACTGTGAGACCTAAATCATGCTGGAAATAATCTTGGTATGAAGCCCGTAAAATGTGAATTAATTTTAATCTGCTGGAAATTGGCTAAAGTTCTATTGTGACATATTGGCTCATAAGGTGAAATGTCGGATGAGCTGTTATATTACTTTAGGATTTTGAGAGGTTTTTTTAAAAATCTTTATGTATACAAACCTGTATGTGGGGGTGATATTTTAATATATAAGCATGTCATTTCTTTCTGTGAAGGCACATCATTTTTAGTAATGGGCAAACCTTAGCAAACTTTGGGTGAGCCACCAAAGCTGGGAAGTTTAGTCGATCTTTGAGTTTCTCTTTTTTTCCATGCCTTCTGTACTTCTTTAATCTCCCAACCAAATCAGAGCTTTATCCCCATTTTCAAATGGCTTCTTTGCATTTCCTGATATCTTTAGTAATATTTTGTAATTCAGTAGTAATTTGAGGATCCCAGGCCTAACACTTCAACTGTTAGGCTGTAGTTTTCAAATGTAATGAATTCTAGCGCTTCTCCAAAATGTGTTTCTTTGCTCCCAAATCTTGCTCTTGAAGGAAGTCTCAACATTTGTAAAGACGAGACTGCAGCTAGTTCCCCAGTGCTGGAGTTTTGGTCTATGGGGAGAGGTTTTTTAATGATTCCACCTAAAATCAGAAATTGTTGGGTTTTTTTTGTTTGTTTGTTGTTTTGGTATTTTTTTGGAAACATGATGATTTTCCCCTAATCTTCTTCAGCATTACCTTCATCTGCTTACAGGATGGGGTGGGATGCATATGTAGATTGGAGAATTTATTAAAAAAAAAAACCAAAAACACTTGGATAAAAACTTTCGGTTGACCAATCTCTTAATTACCAGTTGATGACTTATCTTTCTAGCAGTGTTTGAATATTTATGAAACAGCTGTCTAAAACTCTGCTCACAAATAAGTTATGTACTACATGCAACGCACTCTGGTTTTTTCCCTAAAGGAATGGTAAATAGAAACTTCTTTGTATTTTTAATTTTCAAACCTCTCTTTTTAGATACTGCAACTAGCTTACATAACATCTCTTCTCTCCCTACTCCCCTCAGTCCACTTCCCGCCTCCCCACGAAATACAATCAGATGTGTTTCAAGTAACTAATATAGAAACCTCCGCAGTTCCATTCAGATAAGGTTGCAGGTCTCCTGGAACTAGATGAGCTTTTGGTTGCAACAGTTTCAGTGCCCCAACAAAATGAATGAGGATGGTCTTATTGTCAAGGCTGTTGAGACTCGGAAGTATGGATTTCATTCTTTGCTCTACCACAAACTTTGTGTGTGACACTGGGCAAATCAATCTATCCCTCTGTTCCAAAGCTTCCCATCTATAAAATGGGGATCACACTCCCTTGCTTGTACCCTTCATCTGTTTTATCTACTTAGCGCTTTGGTGAAGAGATGGTCTTTATATAGTTCGTATGTACACACCGCTCTGCCAGTTCACTTGAGATATTGAATACATTTGTTCTAGGCTACAAACATTTGTTGTTTTATGATTAACTTGAGGTACAGAAGTCTAAGGAAGACAGGCACTCAGAGCAGTGGTTATGGTTGTGCAATGTCTGAGTGTGGCTACCTGCTGCTTGCCACAGTCCCTGTCTCTGTGCAGAGACAGATTTAGTCTATCTGCTCCTCGGGGCTGCCTCTAGGTGTCTGTACTCTCTGTTCAGAACCACATAAACTCTACGCTGAGGTGAAAACCCAGCTCAATCCAGCCAAAACTGGACAGTTATAAAGTGTGACTGGTCCTATAACCCTTACTTAGGTGTAACTGCCATTGACTGCAATGAGAGTTTTGTCTTAATAAACATGCAGAGTTGGCCCCCAAGTAAGAAATGGTTTAACATAGGGAGTTAATAAGAGAAACTATTTAAGTTATTCAGAGCTTGTCTTAAATGGAGAGCTGGGGAGAGGAGAACAGAAGGGAAACCTGACCACTTTTCAATTCTATGCTTTACATTATTATCTCTTCAGTACAATGTTGAGAGAAAGAGTTCGTGAGTTGAGGAAACTTCCTTCCATTCGTGTTTCCCTACTAATTTGAATGTTTATAAATAGTCATGGAAATAGTTGGTTTGAGAGATTGAGGCACACTGATTGACAGGCAGAAATGTGACCGCTTTCAAGCACATTTAGTGTTCTTATTCATTTGTGACATGAACTGTTGTTGATAAGCTTTTTTTAGACTACAACAGAGGCTTCTAGCTGCAACTTGTTAAAAAGAAGAAAGAGTCAGAGTTCATTGTTTCACTGAAACCCTTCTGTGATCAAAACACAAGAAGACAATCGCAACAGGGTTAGACCAAAGTTTCATGTATATTACAAACCAGTTACTTGAAAATAATGTTTTGGGTTTTTTTAGCACTAACACTTCAAATTGTAATACCTACAAGGAGACAATGGCTTGTAACTGTTCAGAGCTTACAGCTGCTATCTGGCATAGTTCAATAGGGTACCGGCTTGGTAGGCATTTACTGTTCTTGGAGTAGGCCCTGTAAAATTTATTGGCAGCGTTTTCCTATACCCTGGAGCTAAGGGCAGCAGCCTATTTCTATGAGAGAGAATATGTTCATTTTTAAAATGCAAGCATAATTTCTGTACGATTGCCTATGCCATATGGCCCTTATTAAATACTCATTTTGTTTAGAACTAAATTTAAAAAATTGACATTAAAACGATACAGGGATGCCTTAATCTCAATGACTTTGCACTTACTGTTTTAAGGGTGTTACTTGACTCACCTAAGTTATGCTTGCCATTCACAGCATTTCTCAGATTTAGTAGTCTTTATACAGTCATATTGCTATAATTCGGCTGAACAAGGTGAGCGAAGGTCAGAGTTTTCCACTGTTTCCACTGACAAATTTTCAAGTGAGAACCATTTCAGTACATTCAGTTCTGGGTATAAAAAACAACCCTATTGACATAGTATTGTTCTGAAGACTGAATGCCACCTCGTAAAATAGTTTCTGAAACATTATTGTAAAAAATTTGAATAAAAATGAATGGATATTGAACCTTTTCATACTCTGCATATAATTTACACTGTGCACTATGAAATACTGAACGCTTGCTTCCCTTTAGTGATTGCTGGACAGTGGTGTCTCCTGCTGTGGAGGAAACCACAGTTGCTGCAGTTTCTAATAGGACTCTCTGTATTGGCACTCCAGCTTTATGTAAGTGGATAGTTGCATACAGTAATGCCTTCATTATTGGGAATTCAAAGTTGAACAATTACTACTTAGCGGCTATTAATATCAGTATTGGTTTCTTTGTATTATGGTATGTACATTTGTATATACTTTTTCTTCGCCCTTCCTCACCTTTCTGCTGTCTTTTTATATTGTCAGTCACATTCTCCTCATTGCCATCCCATCTTCCCTGGAGTTTTGCAGCCTTGTCCTTCCTTAGTAGTTCTTCTACTGCTCTTTCA